TTTTATAAATCAAAGGAGATGATTCAGCATGGAACTTTCATTCTTTCTCTTCAAGTTGCAAAATAGGAACCTTCAACAGAAACAGCCGTGAGCCAGACGGGCGTCACTCCAAGGGCTTCACGTGTATTAACTCATTTAACTGTCCTAACCACTGAGGAGGTTAGTTGCTGCCATCACCAACCCCGTTGTACAGATGGAGCAACCGAGGCCCAGAGAGGCCCAGCGCCTTGCCCAGGATCACACAGCAGCAAGGAAGTGGCAGGACCAGGAGCCTAACTCCAAGCCTGACTTGGGAACCATGAGACTCTAGGACACCAAATGGGCCCTCAAAAGGTAGGGGAGCTGGTCCTTTTATTCGTGGCCATTTATTCATGGCCCACTGTCTCAGAGCAGGTGTTTGTAAAGTGGCTTCTGCAAGCTCTCCCTGAACTCTCGACACAGCTCAAGGACTCCTCTGCGGTTCTGTCCTCTAGTTTTTTCCGTCAAGCGAGTCACGCACTGGGCATGTGCTGAGGCTCTGGGCAGAGCACAGTGCACCCAGGACACGGAGTGACCGGGACAGCCAAGGCCAGATGGGGAGATGGTGGCCAGGGACTGATGCCACGGACACATGACTAAGGTGGTGGTCAGCGCTCTGAGACCCTTCTTCAGCAAACCTCATCTCGGGCAGGGAAAGAGGACCAACATCCCCACCGAGCTGACACGTGTGACGTGAGGGACAAGGAGGGGCCAGCCCTGCCGAGAGCAGGAGGGGTGAAGGGAAGGGAAAAAGGCCGGGTGCTCCCAGAACCGGAGGGAGGCATGGCTGGTTGGGGTTAGGCGCAGAGCTGGATACAGGTTTTCTAGGGCCTGAAGTTTCCAGCCTTTGGGGGAGCCTCTTTAGGAAAATGCACACCAAATCACGAATGCAAAATTGATCCAGTCTCTCCCTGGGCCTTGAAAGAAACGCTGAAGTTCACAGCCTCATCGGCTCATGGAAAAGGTATCCCTGGCCAGAACTGAGTATTCCTGGGTTGCCAAGTGCTTATGAATTAACACCCTAGACACACAATCGCAGACATACACACAGACACACGCTGAGCAGAGCATTTGTTGTGTTCTGAACGGATGAGTAAAAAAACTTCCATTACCAGTTCTACCGATAATTACCGCACTCCCTGAGCACCAGCCAAGGCCAACACTAACCAGGAGCCAGGCACTATCCTAACAGCCCATTTAATCTTCACTGCCATCCAATACAGGAGGTACTACTAGTGTTATCCCCATTGTAGAGAGGAGGACAGTACGGCTCAGAGTGGTTAAGCAACTGCCCCCAAGGCCACAGAGCAGGAAGCAGACCCAGGCAACTGGCCTGAAGTGGGCCCTGAACCGTAGAGCATGATGGTTATCTAAGACAGTGGTGACTACATCAGACAGACCCTCCTCCAGACTCTGGAACTCGAATTCTGGAAGGAGAGACAGACACCAAAGCAAGTGATCAGAAAATTACACTGTGGATTACCAAGTGATAAGAGTATGGAGAAATTACAGCAAGGGACGGCACAGGGATGATGCGGGCTGCAGTTTTAAGTCAGTGTCCAGGGAAGGCCTCACAGAGAAGGTGACATCCGAGCAAAGGTTGCAAGGAGGTGAAAAAGCCATGCTGGGAACAGAGTAGAGACCTGGCACTCACCCCAAGGAGCTGCCATTCTGGGGGTGGGGGTGACACCTGGGTGAGCAGGGGATCCCAATCCAGTGTGGGCGCAGAGCTGAGAGAGGCAGGCCCAGGGGGCTGCAGGAGTGTCCGAGGACAGATCAAGAGGCCTGAGAGGGTTGGGCTAGGGGGGCTTCCTGGAGGAGGTGATACCAGAGAATCGCTACACTTTTGATACAGTTGACAGATCAGAGTTAGGCAGGACAAGGGAGGTACAGGAAGCAGAGATGCAGAGGGAAGGGTGCCGAGGCAGAAGGCACAGCGGGGGGCAAAGGTCCAAGGCAAGAAGGGGCCCAGTCTGTCAGGAAAGATCAGGTGACGGAGGGAACAGGGCACCACGGACGGCACAGCAGGGGCCACGGCCAGACCACGAAGGGTCTCAAACACCAGGCTGAGGGGCTCAGACTTTGTCCTGAGGGTGGGGGGGGGAGCCTCAGGGCAGCTCGGGGTGCAGGAGCCCTGAGGCTGGGAGAGGATGGACTGAAGGAAACACTGAGGACCAGGGAGGAGACTGCGTTGTGGGGCCAGGCGGGAGGAAAGGAAGCCTCAAATGCTGGGCCCACGAGAATGGACAAAGGGACCAGCTGACAAGTAACAGGTGGCGGGGGTGGTAAGGGAAGGAGGGCAATGGTGCCGGGGCTCTGGTCCAGTGATCAGGTAGTGGGCAAGGTTTGAACCATTTATTTCTTCAGAAAGGGCACCCACAAACACAGCCAGCAGACAGGATGCAACGGAGGGGGCCCCGGGGCAGCGTGGGAGGGACAGGCAGCACACACCCCTGGGATAGGACAGTCGCTGATACCCTCTCTTTGTTCTCTCATTCAGCGCACACCCATGTGCCAGGCCCTGTGCTGGGTGAGGCTGGGACCAAAGCCCGTCCAACTCGGGCCTGCCGATGGGGGGAAACATATGTGACACAGGCATCTCAGGCCATGGAGACCAGGGCTGGGGCACAGGGAGGCCCAGGGGGCGACAGAGCCCAAAGCAACAGTAAGAAGTGGGAGGAAACCAGGAGAGAAGGTCCCAGGACCCCAGGAGCAGCTGAAGACAACACCCCTGGCCTCTGCTGTCAGGGCTTTGCTGCAGCTATGGAGTGAAAAAGGGAGGAGGGGCACCTGGGTGGCTCAGGCAGTTCAGCTTAACCGGCTGCCTTCGGCTCAGGTCATGATCTCAGGATCCTGGGACGGGCTCCTCGCTCAGTGGGGAGTCTGCTTCTCCCTCTCCCTTTGTCTTCCCCGGCTTGTGCGCTTGCTCTCTCTCAAATAAATCTCAAAAAGAAAAAATAAGGGGGGGGGTAGCAGAGACTGGTGCGGGACTTGCCCTGCACTTCGATCTTGACTGCAGCTGCCTGGAGCTGGGTGATGCAGCAAGTAACAGGACCTCCGCGGGCCTCAATTTCCTAACCCGTCCAACGGGGTTCGTAATATCAAGAGGATACTGAAAGCACTGAATGAGTCAGTCTCTGTCAAAGACCTGGAGTGCTGCTGCTTGCAGTAAGCACTCACTAAACGTGAGCAGTTATGATCACTTAAGTTTCCATGCCAAGTCCGGCTCCCGGGACCTCCTCCCCACCTCACTCCCCAAGCCGGCAGGGGCCCTGGTTTCATGCACCCCGAGGCCTCTGGCACGCCAGGCCCTGTGCTGGGCAATGCTGGGGACACAGAGGTGGAGTCCCAGTTCCATGGTGAGGACAAACATGGATGGGCAGTCATCATCTTCAGTCTGCTTTAAGCCAAGTATTTAGAGAAATTGGCCCAAGAGGCTGTGTCTGATTCACCTCTGTCCCGACCAGCTTCTCTCCGGGGACAAGCCAGGACCTCAGAGACGTTGCCCACCCCCCCCCCCCGGGCCCTCTCATGGGCAATGGGAGCCATTCCACCAGCTCAGTCAAACAAGATTTCATCTCTAGCAAACACTTCTCCCTCCCTTCCTGGCTAGAGCCTCCTCACTCACCCCGCGGCTTTGTAGGGTGAAGGCTTCTGGGTTCCCAAGTTAACAGTCAACAGAGTGTGCAATGCAGCCTAACAGGTGAAAGTGCGCTTGGGTGCAAAGCACTAGTTGCGCTGAGGAGTCAGAAGGACCTGGAGGGGAATCTCAGCTCTACCCCATCCTAGCTGAGCGACCTCTCTGCGCCTCAGTTTCTCCAAATGTCACACAGGGGCCGTGGCACCTCCAGCAGGCAAGAAATAGAGAAACTAACTCGTACTGCACAGAATTATTAAGACGCTGAGTCCAGAACTTGAGAAAAGGGAACGGGGTCATGACCCCAAAGGGGCCGCGTTTGAGTGAGGAGGTATCTGAAGTCTGAACCTCACAGTCCTTGATCTTTGCCCTCAGGTGTGACTTTGACGTTTGGGAGGAAGAGCGGCAGAGAGCATATGTACGAGCAGACCCCCCCATACAGTTTCGGGGTTCGGGGGAGGTGGAAGTGGGGGCCCGGTCACCTTCACGGCGAAGTCGATGACCCTCTTTACAGCCACGAGCGCGCGCAGCTCCGCCATCTTCCTGCCGCTGCCACCTGCGGGGTCAGTCCGCTCGCTCGGCCTCGGAATCCAGACGTCCCGGCCCCCCCCCCCCCGCCCCCGCGCCCGCGCCCGCGCCCGCGCCTGCGCCCCGCGCCGCCAGCCAGTCAACCGCGGCGGCGCCCGCCTCCGCCCTGAGAAAGGACCAATCGCAGGCCCGGAGGGGAGGGAGGTGCGGCAAGAGGACTCGGACCAATGGAGGACGGATTCTGGAGAAAGAGGCGGGACCTGAGGGGAAGGGAAAAGGACTTAGGGAAGGGGGCGTGGCCGGGAACTAGGGGAAAGGTCGTGCGCATAGGGAGGAGCCGGGAGCTTCCCCCAGGCCTCCTAAACTTTTCCCAACGCCCTCGGATTTACCCCTCCCCCGGTTCCCCACGTTTCCCTCGCTTCCGCAAGTCGCTATGCCCGCATTCCCTGAGTCCTCTTGTGTCTGTCTCCCCATTCTCTTCTCGCCACGTTCCTCGTCCCACGATCATGCCTCTTACGTTCCCCTCTATCCGTGTTCCCGCGTCCATGTCCCTACATCCCTTCCAAGAGCCCACGTGCTCTCCTGACCCCACCACCCCTGCGCCCCGTCCCCCCTCCGAGCCCATGCGCCTTGTCCACTCCGTCCATGTTCGTGTCCCCATGTTCCTCGTTCCCTATAGGTTAACGTGCTTATGTCCACCGTGAACCCCCAGGGACCCCCGGGTCCCAATCCCCCGTCCTCTTCGTATCCATGTTCCCGCGTGCGTTCGTGTCCCGCGTGTCCTCACGGTCCCCAGAAAGGCACGCGGAGCCGCGGCGGTGAAAGCCGTTCCTTTATTCTGCCCCAGGCTGCGGTCACAAGCACACGGGGAATCCACTGATGGCATCGGTGCTCTGCATGATCATGTCCGCCAGCAGAAAGCAGAAGCCTGGCGGGAGCGGAGCGGAGGGCGGGTGGGGGACGGTGGGTCCTGGGGCAGATGGCCGGGAGCGCCCCGGGGACTGGGGTTTGGGGCCCCAAGGGCGCCCCTGCCGGGTCTGCGGGAGTCGGGAGCGGAGTGTATTGAGGAGTCCCTGGGAGGGCGGCTGGGAGTCTGCGGGGAAGGGGATCCTCTGGGCAGTCTCCTCCACCCTCTTCCCGCTGCCCAGGTTACCCGCGAGAATAGAGAAGGGTAAAGCCAGCCACCCCGAAAAATAGGACCACGAGAAGAAGACGTCGTTTTTCCACGCGTTCTTCACGGTGTAGCCTGTCAAGGCGATCAGCAGCAGCAAGCCTGGGCCCCGCGCACCCAGTGAGCTTGACCGGAAGCCTGTACCCAGGCCCCACCCAGACCGCGCCCATCGCCCGGGTCACGCCCCCTTCTCCCAGGCCCACCCCCTCCCCTGGGTCTCCGGCCCCTCTCCCCACTCCCATCCCCGCGCCTGAAAGCGCGACCCCTGGGCCCCTGCCCCCTGCAACCCCCAGGCCCACCCTGTGACTGAGGGCCCGCTGCCGTCTCACCGTAAAGGAAGAAGATGCCGCTCGTAGTCTGGCCCCGCGAGTCGCCCTCGTGGCACAGAATCCGCAGCCCCATCACCAAACCCACGATGCCGGAGCCCGCCGCCAGCACCATGCACGCCCCGGTCACCGCCAGCATGGCTGGGGAGAGCGGCCGCCTCAGCCCCGCCCTGGCGCCGCCCCTGGCCACCACCCCGACCCGCCGGTACGGGGCCGGGAGCAGAGTTGAAGGTTTGGATGGGGACTTGGAAGTTACTTCATGAGGGGCAGTTAATGTCGCAACAGGGAAGTAGGTCCGGAAGTGGGGGTTCGTGGTAGTCTCTGTCGCGGGGGAGCAGGTGGACCCTGAGACTGGAGTGGAAGGGGCGAGGGTGGGGGATGTGCCCAGCTGCGGTCTGTGCTGGGGGCTGTCTGCCCAGTGGGGGACATCTGGGCGGGCCGGGCCTCACTCTGGCAGGGGATGTTGGAGCAGGTGCCGCCGTTACACTCCTGCCACAAGCCACTGTGGCCCCCGGGGTAGCGGATCCAGTAGTTGGTGGCAGTGGAGAGAATCGTGAGGATTTGGGCCAAGAAGCCCAGCAAGGTGCCCCCGCTCTGAAGGCTCCGCTTCACCCCCATGCCAGGGAGGCTGCTGCCGAGGGCCACACACTCAAGATTCGCCAACACCCCTCCCATCCCCAGACCCCTCTCCTGGGTCCTCTCCTGGTCCTCGAGACCCCCTCCCACATGTCCCTCCATGTCTGACTGCACCCGAGCACCGCTGTCTGGGGACCCCTCCTTCAGGCCCTCCCCAAACCCAACACCTTCATCACCTACTGCTCCTATTGGGGGCCTTGAGACCTCACCCCCAAGGAATCACTGCTTAGAGACCCTGTGTTTCACCAGTGGAATGTCCCTTTAGCCTGTCCAGTGCCCTCCCCACCCCCATACACACACCCACCTGAGTGACTCACACCCAGCTCCCAGGGCTTCTCAGACACAGAGTCCAGAGGGGTGGGGGAAGGGAGACTGGGTCTCTGTGAGGCAGGAGGAGTTCCAGAATCCCCTCTCCCATCAGCCATTTAAAGAGATAACCGCCCACCCACCCACATACACACACATACGCACACACCTAAGCAACTCCTCTAACACAGAGACAGCTCAGTCAGATGGCAGGTGTGTGGGGAGCTGAAAGGCCATGACATAGTAGATCATAACCTTGTGAAAACGCTTCCCTTGATCTCATAAGCTCTGCAGGTCCCCAGCTCTCCCAACTGTGCCCCCTTAGGTCCCCACACAAGCCCCTGCTCCTCCTCCTCCCTCCACTTTGTGCCCGTTTCCCTGGAACCTCCATCCTGCCCCTTCTCACCAGAGGAGCTTCCTCACTGGGTCCCTCTCCCAGACCCCCGACAGCCATATCCTGGCCGAGCTCAGCATCTTCCACCAAACCAGGGATGACTCCACCATCCCACCTGGTTGGTTGTGCCGCTCCCCTGGGCACTATCCTTGCTCCCTCTTGCCCGTCACTCCACAAAGCCCTTGAATCCCTGAGTCTGGTTCCTTCTGCCCTCTCCCCCCAAATCTTTCTGGCTCCTTCCCTCTTTCCCACCTCACGCCCTGGTCCCAGTTGCACCCCTTGCGTTGCCAAGCTCCTCTCTCCCTTTGGGCCTCCCTGCATGCCCCAGAGGGGTCTTTCTGGCACCTGGAACTGGCGTTGTCCCTCCCCAGCTCCCAACCTCCTCCTAGCTCCCCACTGCCCTCAGGAGAGAGTCCCTGTGACCGTTGGGCCGTTGCTCCCACCTGCTTCTCCATCCTCATGCCCCACCACCCCTGCATTCTGCATTCCACCACAAAGCACTGTCCTCCATCCCCTGAAAACCTCCAGGCTTTCCACACCTCCACCTTTGGGTCCCTCTGCCTGGATGGCCTTTCCTTGGCCTTCGAGAAGCCCCTAAGCACCCTCCCCCCCCCCCCCCCCCTGTCACAGTCCGTCTTTGTCCCCACCATCCCAGGCTCTGCCTGGACTTGCAGCCCCCAGTGGGCAGGGCCCGGGTCAGACTCCCATCAGCATCCCCAGGGAGACCAAGCAGAAAGGATGAGCTCAGGAAAAGCCCACTGAAGGAGCACATGAATTCATGAAGGGAGCGAAGAGGACCAGAGTGAAGACAAGGGTGACGAAATCAGGGAGGGGCGTGAGAGGGAAAGAGCACTGAAGTGGGAAAGACCACGGAGAAAAGAGAAAGGGCAGGGTTTCAAGGTAGAAACACAGGGGAAGACAAGGGCGGGAGGAGGGAGCCAACGTGGGGCCCTGCCTGAGTCCCCTCCTGCCCCGGCTCCATGCGCAGGAGCCCCCTGACGGCAGGTGGGGGCTCTGACTCCTTTCTAGGCGCTTAGTGTCGCCCACCAGGGAGCCGGCTTGCCCTCAGCTAATGTCGTGGCTGAATTAATCTCAGAAAAACCAGATCCCAGCAAATTCTTGTTGAATGGATGAAGAAACAAATGGAGGGGTGGCGGCAGGGCTGGGGGTAAGGGCTAGAGGGAGGGCCGTGGGGGCCTGCGGCTCCTGGTGAGAGCTTCCGCGGTAGTGCTTCATCCTGCCTGTCTCGCCTCCGGCTCACAAGGTGTCATAGCCAGGCCGGGGGCGACCACAGTGAGCAGCCAGACTCAGGCTACCTGGGGGTGGCAGAAAGAGGTTAGCATTAGCCCCCACCCTGCTGTCTCAGAGCCCCCAGCTGCCCTCTCCGGGTCCGGGAGAAGCAGTAACCTGTACAGAGCCAGAGAACAGCTGAAACCCAGCCCAAGTAGAAGGACCAGGAGAAGAAGGTCTGGATCTGGGAGTGCTGAGGCTGGTTCCACCGCTCGCTGGTGTAGACCACCATGGCCACCACTGCAGAAATGGCTGGGGATGAAGACAAGAGAGAGGGCTCAGCCCCTCTGAGGGAACTCACAGGTCCCCAGAGCCCAAGGGCAGCCCAGAGTCTACCTGCAGCGAAAGCCATGATGGAAGAGGCGAGGAACGGGTGGCCTCGAATGGACAGTGAGGGGATGCAGGACATGATCAGGAAGATCACCGACAACAGTCCCCACAGGGTGGCCAGAATGCTGAGGCTCTGCGTCACGCGGATGTAGCCTGCTCGGAGGTAAGACTTCAGTGCCTGCCCCTCCGGCAGCCCACCGCCCCCAACAGGAGAGAGACCACTATCCCTTACCTGGTACTTCGGTGCCAAACTTTGGCCAGAGCCCCGAGTGTAATGAAAAGCTGGGCCCCGCAGCCACGAACCAGAAATCCGTGCTCAGAGCAATCAGGATGGACACCAGGCCCAGGGAGCCAGTGAGTAGGGCCAAGGACCGGCAGAGCTCCATGGAGGTGAGGACTGGGTGTCTGCGTCCTGGGGATGAAGAGACTGGTGATCTGGACCCTTGGGTCCTCTGAGCTCAAGAAAGAGAAGCCTTTAAGACTCTAAAACCAGGCCGGTTTGGTTTCGCGCAGTTCCGGGCAGATGCATCTTGCCCTCCACCCTCCCTTCCTGGTTGCCCCGACAACGTCCTCCCCCCAGAGAGGTCCGGTTCCCCTCACAGTGTGTGGTGGGGAGGGTGTCACACCATCAGTGGTTTGGGTGGTGGTTCAGAACTTGCCTCTGTTTTAGGTTCTATACCTCCCACCCTCGGAACCCTCAACATCAGAGGAGACTTCCTGGAAGAGGTGTGAGAGAGGCTTGGGGGCCTCACGGTGGGAGGTGACAGATGAGACCAGGGTGTGAGTTAAACGGGGGGATGTGGCCAAAGGGGACAGTTGGGGATTGTGTCATGCTTCCCTCTGGGTTCCGCAACCTACCATTCTGGAAGAGGGAGGCCCCAATTCTAGCGTCTCCGTGGAAGGAGGAGGCTGGAGGCCAGGATGCTTGCGGCTGAAGGAAAAGTGGGCTGGATGCCTGGACTCGAGTCCTGAGGAGGAGGCAGGCAGGCAGGGGCTCAGACTCCGGGATCCCTGCATGGAGCTTATCCCCAAGGCAAGCAAACGGTGGATCACAATTCTGGAAGTTTGTGGAGAGCAAGACACGCCCACATCCTCCTCTGATAAAAGTTCACAGACAGCTCTGCCTTGAGCAGGGCCTCCCGTGTGTTGGGCTTCATTGCCAAGATCAGGGTGCCTGAGGGGCAGGGGCAGCCCGCAGGACCGTCCCATCCTCCCAGCACTGGCCTCCTCTTCCCATACAGGGATCGGGATGAGCAGGTGTCAGGTGAAGGTGTGAAAGTGCCACAGCCCGGGTGGAAGGCGCAGGCACACATGACCTCTGTGCATCGGGGAGTGGCCTGGAAGAAGGCCTCTGTCACGAAGATGACCTGAGCCAGCAGTCCCACCACAGCCGGTGAAGGGGAGACCCAGAGTGACTCAAGAGGCCGGGGCCTCTTCCGTTATTGGAGACTTAGTTTGCCGGCCCCCATCTCTCACCCAGACCCTCACCACCGAGGTAACTGGCCACTCCTGAGAACATGCTCACGAGGACAGTCTCCCGGGGGCAGATTCAGGTCATAAGCAGCAGGGGCACCAACACAAAAATGGTGGTGCGTGTAGGTCTAGTGAAGAGCAGCAGACGGGCTTCAGGAATCTGGGCTATGGGTGTGTGGTCAAGGGAGTGCCAGAGCTCAGAGCCCGTCTGCCATCGCTACCCCATCCTTATCTCCAGAGAGAGCACGAGCAGGGAAGGAGAGGGAGAGAGAATCCCAAGCAGGCTTCATGTTCAGCCCAGAGCCCGATGCAGGTCTCCATCCCACCACCCTGAGATCATGACCTGAGCCAAAATCAAGAGTCCGACCCTTAACCGACTGAGCCACCCAGGTGCCCCTGGAAATCTTTGATTCCACCAGCACTTCTTGTAGGTCAGGCACTATGCCACACCCTGAGGGAATATTGGTGTGCAAAGCACATGAGTCCCTCACCCCCGCCGAACCTACACTATGCACACTATAGTAAAGACCCAAATGCTGCTTATAACCAGTTATTACGGAAGGCACCCTCAATTCTATTGAGGCCTACTCTGTTAATAAAGTTTAACGCAGTCTATCATGATGATAAAAATGTACTAAATCTTTTAGTCTAATTGTTGTCTAGTAGAATGTAGCTTCATGTATCCACTCTGGTGTAAAAAAAAAAATAAAGAACGTTAGATGGAAACTATCAGCTAAGAATAGTGAGCTGAGGGGCGCCTGGCTGGCTCAGTCGGTGGAGTATGCAACTCTTGATCTCAGGATCGTGAGTTCGAACCCCACGATGGGTGTAGGGATTACTTAAAAATAAAATCTTTAAAAGCAAAACAAACAAGTGGGAGAGAAAGTGCGTTGTGATTTCAGATAAGGTAGTCAGCGGCATCTCGGTGAAAAAGGTAACTTTGGGGCAAAAACCTGACAGACATTTAGAAAGTAGCCGTCCGGCGGGGCGGGGGGAGAGGGGGCCCACACCTGTGCCAGTATGGTGGCCGGCAAGGCTCAGAGCAGGGTAAGTGAGAAGCCAAGCATTAACCTTGACAAAGGACTAGAGTGGCCTGTCCCCTGAGAAGTAACTTCTTCTTTTTTTTTAAAGATTTTATTTATTTATTTTGAGAGAGTGAGAATGAGAGAGAGAGAGAGAGAGAGAGCACATGAGAGGGGGGAGGGTCAGAGGGAGAAGCAGACTCCCCGCCGAGCAGGGAGCCCGATGCGGGACTCGATCCCGGGACTCCAGGATCATGACCTGAGCCGAAGGCAGTCGCTTAACCAACTGAGCCACCCAGGCTCCCCCAGAAGTAACTTCTAAATCCTTGGCATGTCCTGCCCGATAAGTGTCTTTGAACACCTGGGGTCCTTGAGCCACGCTAGATGGTGTGTCCTGTCTGTGTGGTTTATGGCGGGGGCCCTGGGCCACGCCGTGTCAGGATGACCCCTGGTGGGGCCAAAGACTGAGTAACTGAGGTCAGCCATGTGATTTATCCATGCCTACAAAACTGCCTCGGACCCTGGACAGTGAAACCGCGGGACGCCAAGGCTGGACTGAACTTCCCCAGCGGACAGTCCTCTGTGCATATCGTCACACATTGTTGGTGGACGCGGTGAGCGCTGTCCGTGTGACTCCACTGGGAGAGGACAACTGGAAGCTCGCACCTGGTCTGGACGCTGCCTACGAGCCTCTTCCCTTGGCTGATTTTCATCTGTATCCTTTGGCTATGATCATCTGTAACCCTGAGCATAACAGCTTTCCAGTGGTTCCTTCTAGCGAATCGTTGAAACCGAAGGCGGTCTTGGGGGCCCCTGAGCTGCAGTGAGGGAGGGAGGATTGAGTCAAAGGACACCTTGTATGACCTTGATAGACTAGCTTTTCATTGGAGCTGGGAGCCACTGGGGGGTTTAGAGCTGAGGGGTGGCGTGATTTGAATCATCCCTTAACGAAAATCCCTCTGTGTAGAGAATGGGCTGCCGGGGGAGCAGAAGGAGAGAAGGGGCACTAGAGCCGGTTAGAAGGCTGAGGCCATAAGCCCGGTGAAACAAGATCAGGGTGGTAACTGGATGAGCAAGGAATCAAATTCTGGACGCATTTTTAAAAAATGTTTTATTGTTACGTTAATCACCATACATCAGATCATCAGTTTTTGATGTAGTGTTCCATGACTCATTGTTTGTGTATAACACCCAGTGCTCCATGCAGAGCGTGCCCTCTTTAATACCCATCACCAGGCTAACCCATCCCCCCACCCCGCTCCCCTCTAGAACCCTCAGTTCGTTTCTGACAGTCCATAGTCTGTCATGGTGCGTCTCCCCCTCCGATTTCCCCCTCTTCATTCTTCCTGGACACCTCTTTAAGGTGGGAGCCAACGGCACTCGCTGATGAATCAGATGTGGGACGCAACAAAGCAGCTGAGGATGATCCCACCACTCTTGGCTGGAGCAGCTGAATGACAACGGGGCGAGATGGAGAGATACGGGAGGAGTTGGTGTGGGACGTGGGAGAGACTAAGACACGGGAGATTTGAGATGCCTCTTCTTTTCAAGTGGATATCGGAGATGAGTCTGGAGTTACCACATCATTATTATTGCTAGAATAAACGCCTATAAATATGATTCCTGGAGGGAGCCTCAGTAAATATGTCTCCTTAAATAGACCTCAATAAATTACGATTAGAGAAGGCCTCAATTGCCATTGTTAGTAGAGGAAGCCTCTATAAATATGGTACTATTGTTATTTGTGGAGTCCCCAATAAATATTTCTAGGGAGTAAGCCTCTATTAATATGAGAGTTTTAGCGTAGGTTGTAATTATTATTCTTATTATTAGAATGGGCCTTGCTAAATGGTCTTATTATTTTATGATAGATATCAGTAAATCTCATGGCAATTGGGCACAGCTTATTGAATGAAGTAATGAATGAGTGAATGAGAAGGTGAAGGTCATGACTTCGCACGGTGTGTGAAGAGTCAGGAGGGGGTGCAGATCAGCGATCTGGTGCTTCCAGTTGGAGGGGCCCATCCAGGGAGGCGAGGGGCAGTTAGGAATGCTGAGTGGAGACGATGTGAGTGGACGGCGAGGTGGTTTTTTCCACAGGTCTTTTCGTTTATCGTAGTATCCCACTGATATTATGATTCATAAGAAATATATATTTGGTCTTTGTGCTGTTCCTGGCACAAAGCTGCTAAAAGCCTTGGAATTTCGTAGGTGATGAGGGCCTTGAAGTTGTATTTGCTACATTAGTGAGGCAACTGGGGGCCCGGGGTAAGCACTTGAGAGTAAGGGCAGGTTGCCAGGGGAACCAACAACGTGTGGAATTTTCAGTCCCAGCCCCCAACCTGGGGAGGGAGGGGCTGAAGACTGAGTAATCACCAGTGGCCAATGATGCACTCAAGGATGCCTGTGTGTAATGAAGCCACCATGAAAACCCACAAAGACTGGGTTCAGAGAGCTTCCAGGTTGGTGAACACGTGCGTAATGGAGAGAGTGGCCCCCTGGAGAGGGCACAGAAGCCCCTTGTCCTCTTCCCACACCTTGCCCTGTGCATCCCTTCCATCTGGCTATTCCTGAGTTATATCCTTTTATAGTAAACTGGTGATCTAGTAAGTGGAATCTTTCTCTGAGTTCTGTGAGCTGCTCTAGCAAATTAATCAAACCCAAAGAGTGAGTCATGGAAACTTCCAATCTACTGCTGGTTGACCAGAAGCCCAGGTGAGAAGCTGCACTTGTGATGGTATCTGAGGTGGGGGTGGGGGGCGGTCTTTAGGACTGAGTCCTCCACTTGTGGGATCTAACACTACCTCTGCATAGATAGTGTCAGAACTGAGTTGCTTGGTGATGTGGGCTTAGGAAACACACACACACACACACACACACACACACACACACACACACCCAGAATTGGACCTACACATCTATTTCCTAGAGGTCATAGTTAACCCCTGGGTGGGGACTGTGTGATTCATGTCTGTCCCCATCCCTACAGAGACCGAGCAGGTTGGCCTGCAGGAATCCAACCACCCCCACCCCATCCACCACTCACACCTGTTTCTCATCACCCCAAACCCTCAAGGACCACACCTTAGGAGTTTCATATCAGTTTTATTAGGCTCTCAAAAAGTCGCTCTAACTGGAGATCCCATTTCTCTAACACCC